ACTACTAACTACTTACTACTAACTACTAACTACTAACTACTAACTACTAACTACTAACTACTAACTACTAACTACTAACTACTAACTACTAACTACTAACTACTAACTACTAGCTACTAACTACTAGCTACTAACTTCTAGCTACTAGCTACTAGCTACTAGCTACTAGCTACTAGCTACTAGCTACTAACTACTAACTACTAACTACTAACTACTAACTACTAACTACTACTAACTACTAACTACTAACTACTAACTACTAACTACTAACTACTACTAACTACTAACTACTAACTACTAACTACTAACTACTACCACCTACTACTACTACTACCACTACCACTGCTAACTGCTAACTGCTAAGTGCTAAGTGCTAAGTGCTAACTGCAAACTGCTAACTGCTAACTGCTAACTGCTGCTACTAACTGCTGCTGCTGCTGCTACTGCTGCTGCTGCTACTCCTACTACTACTAGTACTAGTACTACTACTAGTACTAGTACTACTACTACTACTACTACTACTGCTACTCCTACTCCTACTCCTGCTGCTGCTGCTGCTACTGCTACTGCTGCTGCTGCTGCTGTTGCTACTGCTACTGCTACTGCTACTGTTCCTACTACTACTACTACTACGACTACTACTACTACTACTGCTGCTACTGCTACTGCTAATGCTAATGCTACTGCTACTGCTACTGCTACTACTACTGCTGCTGCTGCTGCTGCTCCTGCTGCTACTACTACTACGACGACGACTACTACTACCATACTACTACTACTACTACTCCTCCTACTATTACTACTACTACTACTACGACTACTACTACTACGACTACTACTACTACTACCACTACCACTACCACTACCACTACCACTACCACTACCACTACTACTACTACTACTACCACTACCACTAGTACTACTACTACTACTGCTACTACTACTACTACTACTGCTACTTCTACTGCTACTGCTACTGCTACTGCTACTGCTACTGCTACTGCTACTGCGACTGCTACTGCTACTGCTGCTAACTGCTAACTGCTACTACTGCTAACTGCTACTACTGCTAACTGCTAACTGCTAACTGCTAACTGCTAACTGCTAGCTGCTGCTGCTGCTACTGCTGCTGCTGCTACTCCTCCTCCTCCTCCTACTACTACTACTACTACTACTACGACTACGACTACGACTACGACTACGACTACGACTACGACGACGACGACTACGACGGCGACGACGACGACGACTACTACTACTACTATGATATTTTTTTTTTGATACGGATATTTTTTTTGATCTAGGTTTTTAGCACGAAACCCGTCAGGTCTCACTCAGTGGCACCTGGATGTTTTTTTGTGATGCACATATATTTTTTTTTGGTGCGTGCTGGATTTTTTTTTGATGCATTTATATTTTTTTTGATACGTGTCTCCCATGGTCTTCAAGACCTTCATGCAAGCACCTCTGACAGCAATTCACTAGGATCTCCAGAAGACCTTCTCACAAGGCCTCAGCGGCCTCTGCAAGTTCTTGACCAAGATCTTCATACCAAGACATCGAAGATAATGTCGCATGATCGTCCTAGAAGGACATGCTAGAGAGGATAAGACCATATAAGACCTCTATGCAGAGCTTTGCAAGAACCTCCCCAAAGAGCATACCAGCAGAGCTTTCAAAGCAGCACCTCACCTCTTGTACTAGTACAGGTCATCTTCAAGGTCTTCATGCAAGGACCTCTTAGAGAGAATTTCAGAAGTTCTCCGCAAGATCTCCTCACAAGACCTGTACAAGATCATGCAAGGGCCTCTAGGTCAAGATCTTCATATATGAGCTTCCAAGAGCGCATTATGAAACTTTCACAAGATCGTCAAAGAAGGACCTTCCAGAGAACTCATAAGATTTCTTTGCCAGCATCTTTGAGAACCAGCTAAAATGAGCACCGCGCCACACTGAGAGCCGTGCAAGGTGAGAGATTTGCGCGAGCGATATCAAAAAAAGCACCGCGCAGCAACGAGAGCAATCCGATGCGCACAAAGTTACGAGAGTGTTGCGCGAACACATGTGAAAATTTCATCAAATACTGCGCGCACTACGAAACGTGAACATTGAAAACGTGAAAAACCATGTTTACCTATGTTTCAGTTTCGGACACTTTTTCGTCGAGGTTTCTGCAGTATTGCACCTGCCACGGAGAAACGAGCCTCATGCATCCGCAGTACAGCGCCTACCAGGCAAAATGATCATCATGTACCGAGTCCAAAATGACGACAGCTTCGCAAAAAGAGACTTTCGAGGCGTTGAAAGCTTCGTCCAAGTTCACCAAATATTGCGCTTGCCGCGAAAAATGACATCCGAAACAAGTATTTCAATTATATAACTAACATAAGACATTCTTTATATCTGTTACATATGATGAATATTATATATATATATGAAACCATTCCGTTGGGGATATTGACCCAAAATTGATTACTGTACTCGTACCAAACCGGTGATTTTTTAGCCCAAAAACATGAATTATGAGGACTTTGAGGCTTTGAGGGCCCTGAACACCCTTGTTCTTCGAAATTTCTTCCAGCCTTTGGGTTTCAACATCCTAAAATGGTGGTGATTCAGGAGCAGCCATCAGCATGAGCGTGCCGGGCATGGCTGAGGGCTGCACAGGTCTTAACCAGGCAGGGATTGGGGGGGGTTGAGGCCCAAACACATGGCATGGAAACGCATGACGCATGAGCAACTTTGATTTGAATAGACGCACTATGGAAGTTTCCTGAAATTGGGGTACCCCGAGCCCCTACCAACCTGAGTTATCATCCATTTAATTTTCGAATTTTCCATACACCAACCATTTTGGGGATTCCCCATGGACCCCCCATATTTCGCTTGGTTCGCCCCCAACACACCATGGCTTCGCCAGGATCCGACAGACGTGGAGATGGATTTTGCCGCCAACGCCTATTGGAAGTACTTCACCTATGACACCTACGATCCCCGCACTTGGGTCACCTTAGGTGACCTGGAGACGTGCTTGCGAAGCGTTCCGGGTGGTGATGTGAATGAATGGGTGGGCGCTCCGGATTTGTGGGAAGCCATGACACTGATTCTTGGTGAAGTGCTGGATGTGGGACCTTGTTGCTTTGGTTGTATCCATGTGACATGTGGGACC